TTTAATCTGCTCATGACAGGAAACACAGATTCAAAATGAATGTAAAGAACACAGTCACCATAACTGATGATAATACAAAAGAACATGTAGGAAAGATTTCTTTTTCCCAACATATTATAGGGAGAAAAGGCTTACAGATTTCAGAAGATTCTAGGTGTTTTTATTTCTCAGTGGCTACCAGTAGAGTGTTTTTCCATGAACTTCACAGGATACAGCTCTCTGCAATGCTGCGATACTATCAACAGTTTCAGCATACAAAAGATAAAACAAACTCCATGCTCTCTGCCAGATCTTCAGTGCTTTCAAACAACTACCCTGCCAAAGCTTCACTGAACAGATGTATAGAAATGGTCAAAGATTTTTCCATAGCATGTGTAAAATGTAAAATGAAACAGGTAAAAGCAATTGATGCACCCTCTTCAGCTAATCTCTAGGCTCTCAAGAATTTCAAAGATGTGCTTTTAAACTATGCCAGCCTACACATCTGAACTAAAGTTCTTTATGTATGACAATGTGAGGGGCTTGACTGAACTCTTTCCTCGGCTTTTTGGTTGCCTGTTCCAACTTCTCCTCTTACTATGTTCAGATCCCACCCTACCTGGTCTCCTTTCTCTGCCTTCTCTAGTTTGCCTAAATCCCCTTTCCTTCCTCTTTCATTCAGGTAGTACCTTGCAAACGACATCCCTCATTTAAAAACAACAGGAGTCACAATATTTACACAGTGATTTCTGCAAATTCATTTATCTCTCAGAGTGTCATACACTCTTTGATCTGTGCCCATTTTGTCTGTTTAGACTATGAGCTATTTGGAGCAGCAGATGTCACCTGGTGCATGCTTGAGCAATGCATAGCACAAGGGGATCCTATTTTAGACAGTACGTGAGCAACACTGTAGTAAATAAAAACAATTGAAATTATAATTACCTCTCCTCCAAGCTACATTAAAAAGCATGATCAAACACTCAGAAATTGAGCAATGACAGCAGCAACTCTGTGATGTGATTTTAATTAATTTCTCTCTCTTCTGTATAAATATTATGATATTGTCTCTAGCTATATGACAGCATACTATTTTTTCTGCAAGGGTCTTGCTTCATTGATTATTGTTAATTTTTAAGACTATTTTCATTCAAAATGGTGTCCTAAAACTTTCTCACCATAGGATTTTTCTGTCATAAACCCTCAACTTGAGTAGAGAATAACTAATTTCCTTTTATTCATTATTCTTTGTTACTTTCATCAGAGAATGTGAGTGTTTCAAAAGTATTAGCAAAATTATTTTGACAATGATGACTTGAATAGCTGTTACTTTATTTTAAAGACAGGAGCTAAAGCACAAATCAAGCATAAAGCATAAATCTTACATATTAAATTAATAGACATTAAATCAATAGACATAGGTTCTAATATTTTAGGCTGTTTCATGTTTCATGTTTTTAGCATATGAGATATTAGAAGCACAGCAGCAAAAAAAATCAGCTTTTAGCTAGGAGTGCACAGAATTTCCACTGATTTTTCAGGTGAGGAACACAAAATATTTTAGTACACATGATTTTTGAAAGTGGCAAGGAATAAAGCCAGGTTTTCAAAATTTATTCAGCTTTTCTAACCATTCTTCATTCTTAAAATCTTCTGCCAACAACCAAACACCTTCTAATTTCTACATTAAATAAGACAAGGAGGCTGTGTATAAAAACTCTCTACACATCCCTAACTCCCAGGACCCCATTCACATTGTAGATCAGCCAAGGCTGGGTCCTGTGTAAAGCACTGCCTCCTCGAGGATTCATGAAAATACAAGTTTTATGGGCTGCAGTCCAGCTACAGAGGCCTTTCTATCTGGAAAAAGAATTGCAGACTTTCTGTTCTGTTCCCAGCAATATCCTGTATTTTGAGCATTTGCGTAAACCTTCTCTTAAATTATCCTACAGCTATTTTCTGTAGTTTTCTCACTGATTTTTCAGTATCTCCTTCAGAGCATGGAAACCCAAAGTGGACTTAGTATTTACTGACTGGTACCCCAGTTCTAAAAAATCACTTAGTTGACCATTTCAGCAACAGAATTGCACTAGTAGAGTTGCTGGTCCAACACAAACTCCAGATCTTTTGCAGAATCACTGTGTCCCAGGAGACACACAGTCATTTGAAAGATACGGTCTAGAACTTTTCATTTCTAAGTCAACAGTCAGTTTGGCGGTATTAAAAACAGAGAATTGCACTACTGGTATTTTGACTGAGTTCTGGTTCATGTTCACCCATTACTGGTATTTTCCTAATTTGGACTCAGCAGCAGATTCTGCACATCTAAACAGTCTTGAACAGATTCACACTGTGCATTGGGGTAATATGGGTAAGGGAAAAGTGTCTAGGGATCACACATGAGGAAGGTTAGAAGGGTTTCAGCAGCAGCAGGAGATTTCAGAGGACAATAAACATGAGAAGTGAATTTTCCTCCTCCTCTAACTTGGCCATCTCTCAGTATGTGAGCCATCTCATCTCTGGGATTCTCAAGCCAACCCCTTTCTCTTCTCACCTGTATTGCACATTCACACCACTCTCACTCTCTGCCTGCATCAAGAATATCCCATGCTTATTCTTCTGCCCCTGCTAGATTTCTATCATAGTGGTGCACTTGTGTTAAATAGCTATCATAAATAGCTATTTCTTTTTGTTCATCTTGAGTTTGGGTTTAATAAAGACTTCACAGTAATAACTCAGAAAAAAACCCACTTTAATTCAAGCTTTTACTTCAGTTTCAATTTGATTTTAAAACATGCTTTGTTTCAAAACACTCCTATTATCAGAATGGTCTGAGTGGTCACCATGTTTTCAGCATTATTTACAAGTCTGACAAATTTTGTGTCAAGGGCACATTTCAACATAAATTATTCAGCATCTATTTCCAGATTACTTCTAACAGTAATGAGTAGGGCAAAGCAAGGGGCAACACAGAACTCTACTAAAAGTCTCCCAGTTCAGATTTAATAAGTACTTTTGGAGAGCTGTCAGCTAATCAGCCCTTAATCATTTAATGTGTGCTATTCTGGTACATTTAATTAGAATGCTCTGTGGTACTAAGTCAAAGGTATTAGAAAAGTCTAAAAAGTATCACCTCTTACTGTTCCATTTATTAACTTAAATTCTAATAATCTTGAAACTTAACATTAATATTTTTAAAGTAGTATTCACAGTACCTGAACCTTTAGTCTTTAGTCTATCACTGAATCCCACAAAGCTTTCTTTCTTCATCAGTTTGCCTCAAATCAATGTCTTATTGATTTATAATAACATTATAATATTTATATTTAGTAGATGATAAAGGCTTTCTCCTTGGTAACTACATAAAAGAGTTTGTTTTTAAATTCTTTACAACTGAAAAATTGTCTTAACATTTCCTTATCACAATATCTCAATTTTCTTTACAACTTTTTGAAGCTAAGTTTATATTCCATTTGCCTCTTCAGCATCTCCCTCTTCACTGCATTAGTCTAAGACAGTTCTATCTGCTCCAATTAGTCTCCAATGGAGAACAGCTCTAGTTCTGAAACAAAGGCTGAGGCACCTGTGCACCAGGGGGTTGTCACCTGATGCTCCACTGAAAGCATGTCTTCAGTCTCACATTAGTGAGCCATTTTTTGGCCTTGGGGATGGAAAACCTCAAAAATATCACCTGGACTCTTCCATTTTTCAGCTTCTTCCTTGATGTCCCCTACAGTTCAACCAGCTTCATGTGATTTTTGCTTACTTATGTTCTCAAAAATTGCTGACACATTTTTGCTGAAATAGAACACTGAATAAAAATGTCAAAGATGAACATTGCACATAGAAGTTTCCAGCTCAAATTATAAACAGTATCTATAGTGATGATGCAAAAGGTAAAAAAAAAAAAATTATATGTACAGTTCCTGGGTTCGAGTTAAAGTTCTTATTGACTGTGCAAAGTATATTTTTTAGAATTCGTATTATAGTAGAGTGTGGGGAACTAAATGAAAATTAGGCTATAATGTACTAAGCACTGTACATGCACAGTTTTAAAATTTTAGAATTGTTATTAACCAATGCATCAAAGTGAAAGTAAATAAACAGTTATGTAAAAGTAGTTTCAACTATTAAAATTACTTCAGGATACTACAGTTAGGAACATTCTATGGTAATATCCTCAGTGGTAAGGTTTGGAGTAATCTTGGTTAGTTGGCTGTAGGAAATAATCAACTGTATGACTTGAAGTGTCGCTGATAACAGACCTACAAGCACCTTCTTTCCTGACTGCTGGTTTGTTTCCCCAAGTCCTGCAGCAGAAATCCCCCCAGTCACTGCCCTAGATGTTTCCAGTCCTACAGCGTTTTGTGGCTTCCCAGAATAGGAACTGAACTGGGTAATTAGCTGCGGAGAAACCTGGCACCCCTCCAAAAAGAGCCGGCACGCAGGGTTGATGTACAACGTCTTCAGGAGCATGTTAAACCGTATTTATAACTTCAGTGTTACTTGCTTTGGTTATCTGGTGCATTGGAAGCAACATGGGCACAAAGACTGGATTTGGGGACACGCTGTGTCAGGGGTGAAAGATGACCAGAGCTGCTTCAGCCTTGGCACTGGGCATAAAGCAGGGCAGAGGAAAGCTTTTGTGGGTTTTCTGTGCGGATTGACTTTAGTTTGGCGAGAAGATGCGAGGCAGGCATCTTCAAGCAGGGGCCAGGCTGCGGATCTTATGCTGGAAACGCTGCGCAGACACGGCCAGGCGGCCTGAGGGGAGCCGGGGAGACCTCGGAAGTTATAGAGAGGCTGGGGGGACACCCTGCCGAGAAGGGCAGTTTCAGGAGCAACCTGCACATGAGGCACGACTCTGAAAAAAAAGACGGTCGAAGCGCCGGCATTTGCACCGCGAGCAAGGCACAACGGGGTGACCACGACCGCCACAGCAGCTCCCACCCTGTCTCTTAT